AAATTTATGACACACATTTATGACTTATATTGTGTGTCATTGAAGCACACATCATTAGAAAAGATGACACACATTCGTGTGTCGTGATTGTATGTCGTAAATTATAAATATATATATATTGTAGATTGACAAATAATCAAACTAAATCACATTTAATGCCTCATAATACTAAATATATATATCATATTATATATAATCAATCCATTTGCATACAATATATTCACATTAAGTTATCAAAAATATTGTAATCATATGTCGATACCAAATATCACGACATAATAAAGTTTGTCACATAAGATTCCTCAAAACCCTATACAAATATAACAGGATTATGTTCTGTCAAAATGAATAATATATAGATGGAACCTTCAAAATATTTGATAACTTGAGCACAAAACATACAATGTCAGTAGGCGTTTCATGTTTTTGAGCACAGGAAAATCCTGACTTGGCCCATTTATATCACTAATCCTCATGCACAAAAGATAAATGCAATATTTGCAAACACATCAGTGTTGATCCTATGAACATGTCCAGATACGTGGTTTAAAATAGAGGAAAATTTGAAGAAACTTACAAGTCAGTTAGATTTCTTAGTAAACTAAACGTAACTGACAAATTCCGAGTTAATTGATTGGAGGAGAGCATCCTTAAATTACAATGAGCATGAAAACAAATCATTTGATCAAGGCCAATTTAACAAGAAATTAAGAGAATCGTAAAATATTAAACAAAGAAGAAGAAGAAGAAGGTATTGAGTTTTTCCTTACAAAGTTTCGAAGTTCACTAAATCCCCAAGTTCATGTGGTACAGGGCCTGAAAATTGGTTTGCTTCAAGATTCTTGATAAAGAAAAACATTAAACATCCTTAATAAATTTCCTACCAAGTGGAAAAAGGAATATGAAAAGTCTATAATTTTCTAGCACCTACAACATCTAATAAAAAAACAGACTAACATAGTTTATGTTTTGATTTTGCAACCCATATGTATTTCAATATGCAGCACATTTGACACTTAAATCTTGAGTCTCCAGCCTACAACAGTATGGAAATCGAAAACTTCAGATTCTACAAACCATATGTATTTCAATATGCAGTATGTTGACATTTAATTAATGATCTAAAGAATAAAGCAAGCAACAGAAAATGCAAACTACAAGGTATATTCCTAACATATTAATAAAAAAACTAAACTTATCTAACATTAAAAAAATATAAGCTAAACATATCTTAAGTAACAAACAAAGAATAGGGAACCACATTTGAAATATGATGGTTTTGTATCATAAAGATGTAACCACAAGACCCAACCTTTTGCACTCCAAAATCTTCAATAATACTTGGTTAAAATCCTATACACTTTCAAAAAATTATTCTTCATCAACTAAGAAGATCAAAAAGCAATTGAGTGACAAATATGTAACTGTAAGTTATTATCTTACACACAAGAAGTAGAGTTTAGAAACTCCATAAGAGTGTTTACTAAATAATGTACTGTTAACTTCTTTACTTAGACTTAAAAAAACACGTGGAAATCGATTAAACCAAAAGAGTTTTTAGCTCGCAAGTCACAACAATAAAAAATAGGGGAACAATAACCATTGTATAGTAGAACTGGTTAAGATCCTTAAATCTTTTTTATCAATGGAACACCTCACTTGTATAAACTATGTAAGATCCTTATTTCTTTATTGTAGATCTTTAATATTTTTATTTATCCATATTTAAATCAAGTAAGCGTACCAAGAGTACCAAAGAATTAGGACAAAGCTGATTACATTTTTCCTCTTTAAAGATATAATGTAATATCTAACAATATATTATTTATACAGCTAATACATGGTTGCTATTAAAACTAAATCACTCTTCCTTTTTTGAAGTTCTAATACAATACCTTACTCTGCGCTTTGATTTGACCATATGAAAGACAACTGATCAAATACCAGGTTGTTATTTACGAGCACAAAGACATAAATGTAGAGCCTTTTAGGTGGAAAAACAAATGCAAAGTTTATTTTAGAGATAGTATAATCAATAATAACAATCAAAACTGTATGACAAGGATTCAATCTTCAAAAGAGCAATACCTAACAGCTACTGCACTAATGATTTTTTTTTAAAAATAATCTTAATTTAAAAGCAAAAATCTAAACAACGACCCTGAGAATAAATCAAAATGTCTATATCCAAACAAAATTGAGATGTGAGTTTAATAGATAATGGATAAAAAGATTGAACCTTCAGAGAAAATGAGGGAGCAGCACCGCCATGGGGATGAAAGGTATGAAGATCAGAAGAAAACGAACCGAATGCTACTGAAGAAGAAGAAGACGATGATGAATGACAATGAGATATTTTCTGCCATTTCTTCATCGGGATCATTTCTGAATACATAAAATAGAGGTGTCAAGATTTCATTCATCCCTTGAACATATCTTATACCTAGATTTAACTTGACAAATACAATTAATATGTCCGTCAATTCATCCTGAATGAGCAAGGTATAAGTCAGAAATGGCTTTGTTTCTCATATCAAAACTTGAGTCCAAAGAGTTAAACAACAAAATCACAAGAAAGAAAATGCATACCCGGTTAGACTTTGCAAGTTACGAGTTTCTGGAAAAGAAGTTCATGTCTGGATTAGTGCATTTCACATCTCGGTCAAACTGTTCTATAATTTTTGAGTCCTTGAAATACCACCAGCCCAAAAGAAAGTCACTTAATCTTTATCTAGAACTTAAAAGGAGGACATTTTAAAAAAATTCAGCTCATCAACAACATGACTAACATCGCAAGAAAACTAAGCAAATAAATGGGAAAAACCCTCTTCCTAAATGCTTGCTAAATCAGGAAAACTTTAAGGACTAGAGAATAAAATAAATGACATATTCAATTAATAATTGAAAAATCAGAACTCTTCGTCACTACTTTCATGTATAAATTGTTATACAAATACAGTTGTAAACTAGTAATGCTCAGTTCATGTTCTCTCAACTAAGTATTGACCAAAAACTAGTATGTGTATCATGAATTGTTTTCCCCTCGTCCAACTTCTTGGATTTCTTACTATAATGCTATATAACACTGACAATTATAAATACCAAATATCAGGATCTAATAATAACAGAGATAATCAGATAACACATTATAAAACATATGATTATTCTTAGTAAATTAAAGCTAAAGATAATATATGGGAAAGATATTTTAATGCTAACAGCAGCATAATTGTGCAAGAAACTATTCAATCTTTGAATTATAATTCAGTAGATTTTACATCAAAGTGTAATACCCCTTCAATGTTTTTTCACCTCTGTCCATATAGTTGTTATCCTTCTTTCTTTCTTCTATCCTTAACGTCAACTAAGCACTAAAAGTCAGGCTCCAATTAAAACAAATGAACTAAATTAATGGGAGTAAGCTCAACTTAGCATTCACAGTCTTTATTTAAAGCATTTAACATAAAAGAAAACACCACAGATGCCGTACAGTTCAATGCTTAGCTTTTTAGAACTTAATTTTTCACTTTATCAAACTGCACCTAATATAACAATAAAATTCAGTGCAAAAACTTGAATTCAATAAAGTTTATCTTTTGCGTAACAATTACATTAAAAATTCAGGAATGAAGAGTAGTACAGAAAAATCCAATAAGAAGCTAAAAAATAAACTTACACACCAAGCCAACTTGCGAATGCAAGATATTGCAGCCTCTGATCATGAATCGGTATCTCATTAGCTATATCATGATATATAATTGGGAAAATTGGCGGCCAATTTTTATCATCTGTGGAAACACCAGCTGATATACCCAAAAAAAGATAGCATTTAGCACTCTGTAAAACCACTTGAGAAGACATAAAGAGAATGAAGGCAAACTTAATTGTGATAAACTTAATTGGCATTCCTACAGCTAGTTGCAGGTCATAAAGAGACCACTAAGTTATGGAAATAGGGACAATGTAACAAACAAACATATTTTATTGTGACAAACTTAATTGGAATTCCTACAGCTAGTTATATTTACATATATTATTGAGACAGGAGTATGTGGTTTAGCATTCAACAGTTTAGTATGAAGACATTCCTTACAATAGTTAGCAATGCTAGATGGAAAAGAAATTGAAGTTATTTGCATCTGAATCATTGTCAAAGTCATTGGAAACGGGAAATTGAAGTACTTGGGAGACAACACCCACTACAATAAGAAATAAATAACATAAAAAATAGAGAGAATAAATTGCATAAACGAAAAGTTCATTCCTAATCAAATTGAAACCGAAAAAAACATCATTGCTTTAGTTGTAACCTAAATCTAACTATCACAAGTAATGAATTAATAAAACTTGATCAGTTATGGACTTTTGTTGCATGATATTGTAAAGGGATAATCATCTATTGCGGGAATGTTGTCCTGAAGCAAAATCTGTTTGGTCAGCTGGGCACCCATCCAATCACTTGCATGCTCCATCTTCAGACAACTGGATTTCGTCTCCTGTATTTTTTTCCATATCACTAGCAGCAGTCAGTTCAAATAATATTAACCAAATATCTTTATTTTTCTGATTTGTCATACATATCAATGCTAACAATAAGAAAGAACCACAAAATAGATCATTCAGAAGCATAACTGAAGACATTTTATTTGAAAATTATATAGGAAACCCATGTTGACATATTTCAGAATAAGCGCATCTTATGAACATGGACTTCCTAAAATCCGCTTGTTAGAGAAAAAGGATCAACCAATAGAAGTATAGATTAATGTGAAGTATAGATTAATGTGAAAGATAAATGAGGTTATTGCCCCTTCCCTCATCTACATTTAAAATGTACTTAAGATCTAAACTAGAGTCATCCATAACGATGAAACAATATAAGATAACCTCACAAAGGGCATGCCATTATCACAGAGCACTCATTGAAATCTTGCTGTGAACTAACAAAACTCACAACCCAGATATGATTCTCTAATCCTCGAGCAGTTTTATAGTTAACGAATCAGATCGAATGATTGTATTTCCTTCTTTCTAACAGTTCATCAACTTGCAGCTAGAAGCCTTTGCAATGTACCATCATCGACCGCAGCTCTGAGATCTAAATAGTCAGAAAGAAATAAGAAAAATGAAATCATATATATATATATATATATATATATATGTGTGTGTCTAATATCTAGAAAAACAAATACTATGGAGACAAAGTAGTTAACCATCAGAGCCTCCAATATACTTGTCATTCACAAACACTTGTGGAACAGTGCTTCGACCTATCAAATCCAGAAGAACATACTGGATTTTACCTCCATCGTCTAAAATAAAAACTCAACAAGTCAACACTTCATCTAAAATTACTCTTTTTTTACTCATACACACACACACACATACAATAAACGAATCAGAAGCAGATGAATAATATCCACATATACCTCGGAGATCAAGCTCTACAACATAAGGTTTCTCATTTTGTTCACTGAAAATCCGCTTGGCACGAAGGCAATACCTACAAACAAGACAAAAGCGAAAGAATTAGGAGCAACCTATCATATTATCTAATCACAAAATCCCCAAGAATTGAAGTTTCAATTATACTTTTGAAGAAATACCCATGAAGTCAAAAAGTCGAAACAAGATTGATTACGCTATCCTGATTCTAAATCATGAACATTGAAAGGTTGAAACGAAACTGTAAATGTAAAAGAAATGGAAAAAAATGGCATATGGGCAATAGGATTTAGAGAATATAACAATCTTGTTGGAGAAGATGACGTTTTGGACAAAGGGAAAAATGGGAAAAAAGAAAATGGGGAAGCATGCGGAGTGGACTGATAATTATCGAGGGGGAAGAAGCGGGAAAGGATGAAAATAATGGGGGGAAAATTAAAAGATGACTTTTAGAGATAACACACATTTAAAAAGTGTATTCCGTGTTTTGTAAATTTTTTGGTTTATGAATATTAAATATGACACACATTATTGTAAGTCATGACACACAGTTTTTGCAAGTCATAAATTAGCGTGTGTCATTGTTCGTGTCAGTAAAGGTATATTTTCTTGTAGTGTAACGAACCCTATACCACTTTAACCTAAAACCACTCCAACCAAAATAAAAAATTATAAAATACCTTCGATCATTCTTAAATCATAACCGAAACCTTTTACCTAATAAATTATCAAATTCTAATAACCCTAAACCACTATCACCTTCAACCTTAAACCTTAAACCAAAACTCTAATTCAAAATCAGGTGAAAAGCATGTTCCCCCAAAAGTATTTTTGGAAGGCGCCCCCTGAAACGCTCTTTCCACCGTGGTGCCACATCAGGTGGAAGGAGCTTCCCTTGAAAAGCGCCTTCCCTCCACATCAGCAAATCCTGCGAAGGCACTCCCCCGTAAACACGATTTAGTCAGGAAATATTAGAAAAAAGTGTTATATCGAAAATATTAGAAAAGTAGGGTGATTTTTAGGTTGAAAATCCTGGTTCCCATGAATTCCTTGAAGTTATGTGTTGCCCCCTACAAAGATAAGTAAATTTAATTTTCATTGTGACATTTAGTTGGCTTTATCTTTTAAATAAAAATTGACTTATAATTTTATGTTAAGAAATAAAATTTTAAAATTTTAAGATAACAAACCTATAAAATTTAAGAGAGCAGAAACATATTATTAGTAAAAAAATATAATTATTTAAAATATGTGTTGGCCCTTCGATCCATCTCTGATCTTAATAATTCATTGTCTGCTGTGATAAAAATTTAAACCCTAAAACTTAATTAGTGTATCGTAAAAGTGTTGGATGGATCACATCCATGATTAGGAATAGGTATGAGACATGAACCCAATAGGTTTCGACCCGATCGGGTCTTTTTTAAAAAAAAAAATTGGGCTCGGGTCGGGTTTTTTTAAAGGTGGTGTTTGGGTCTGGTCGAATTCGGGTTTAGGGTGAAAATACCCAACCCGGAAAAAATATAATTTTATCTTATATATTTAGGAATAATTATAATAATACCCTTATATATATTATTTTTTGTCAATTAAATCACTATTTTTATTGAATAAAAATAATATTTTTTATTATTTTGGATTGGATCAGGTCAGGTTCGGATTTTATTTTAAAAAGTTAATTCAGGTGGAGGGTATATATTATGCAAGTCAATTCGAATTTCGGGTGAAGAAATCATTGTTCTCGGATCGGTTAAGTGGATCAAAAATCCAATCCAACCCAATCATATCCATTCCTATCCATGATGTGACGACAAAGAGTTGCTAATAATAAACTTTTGGTTAATAGTAGAGATTAATTTCGATCCATAACCTATGAATCATAAGCAAAACAAATCAGCCAAATGAAAAGAATATAAAGAAAAAAAATGAAACAATGAAGAAGAAGAAGATAAGAAAGGAAAATGAGAAAGAATTTTCATTTTCATTCTCTTGTTTTTATTTTATTTGAAAAATAAAAAAATAGCTGTTTCTTTTTTCCATATATATATGGGGTAAGGGAAGGTAAGATAGTAGGCTACCATCAACACCAGATTGAGAACAACTTCCGTAAGAGACCTCCGAATTATAAAATACCTTCCGTGAGACTCGATCCTATTATCTCAAGATTAAAAACATTGTGCTCTACCAATTGAGCTGACTTATTTCATTTTCAAGTCGGTCGAATATTTACGATTTCTGCCACTCCCCCCCCACCCCAAAAAAAAAAACTGTTTGTATTTGATTATCGTTTCAGAAAAAATAATTGAAAAAGCCGCGTTTGGCAGTTTTATTACGTGTGGCGCTTCTATACCGTACAATCACGACGGAGGCCAACGAGAAAGTAGAACAGTGATTGAAGGTCTAGTCGCCATCACAACTCATTCGGGTCCCCTTTTTCTTTTATTAAACCAAAGGTCAGGGTTTGTTCTTTAATCGCTGATTTATTTTACTTTATGGTACGAAGATTTCACACTGGTAATATATAAGGAAATAGATTAAAAGGTGATGTGACAAAAAAATTAATAAGATTATTAATAAATTTAATAAAGTGCTATTGAAAATATTGATAGACTTATAATATTGTATGCGAAAAATATAAAAAACTGTTAAATGTTTGGTAATCGATAAATTTTTATTATCAATAAGTATCGATACATATATATATATATATATATAAATATTCATACTTACTTTACTGTGGAAGATATTAACATAGAGTTATCTTTTGAGTGAGTTTTAAGATATTAATTTAGTAATTATAAATGTTTAATTACTTATTTTTATGTTACGGTTATATTATTATTAAATTAAAAATAATAAATATATATATTACATATTTATTATTAGAGAAAATCACCTCAGTGACCAAAAATACCTTATAATATACGATTTTAACCAACTTTTTTTGGATTTGCCAAAATGACCAATAAAATCGCAACGCGATATCAAAATCGCAACGCGATTTAGAAAATCGCAACGTTAAAAAGAAAATCGCAATGGTCAAAAGAAAATCGCAACGCGAGCTTCCAAGTTCGCAACGCGATTTAGAAGAAAATCGCAATGCGATTGATAGAATCGCAATGCGATTTATAGAATCGCAATGCGATTGAGAGAATCGCAACGCGATTTAGAAAATCGCAACGTTAAAAAGAAAATCGCAACGGTCAAAAGAATAGTTAAAAAAATTATGTTTCTTAAGAATTTTCTCTAAAAAGATAGTATCCGCGCGGACGTGTCGAAGACACGTATTACCACGACCACGACCACGACCACGACCACGACCACGACCACGACACGACCCGACCCGACCCGACCCGACCCGACCCGAGACGAGACGGCGGCGGCGGCGCGCGAGAGTCCCCCTTGTCCTCTTTCACTCAACAAGGAAGTGCAAAATACAAGCCTTAAATACCATTCCCAATAGTATTTCCAATACTATGTGGGATTGAGCATTACCAACACTTGTTCCAAATATCATTATTCTTCATAAGTTATCATCCATTACAATATGAATTAGTCGTGTTAATGAACCAATATACCTCATTAATATATGGTATTGTTGAACAAAAGAATGATGATGATGATCTTATTAAAGACCATCTAATACGAAAGAATCCAATGCATAACCGATACCTTATTGTGAAACTAATTCACATAGAGGTTGTACGTGAAAAAAAAATCTTTTACTTTTATAGTAAATATCTATCTCAATAATTTTAATATAAAAAATATATTTTTTATTTAATAATAGAATTATTTCATGTATTTATCAAGTTATAATTTTAAATACTTATTAAAATGAATTAATTTATTATCGATAATTCATATTGTAATGGATGATAACTTTTGAAGAATAATGATATTGGGAACAAGTGTTGGTAATGCTCAATCCCACATAGTATTGGAAACACTATTGGGAATTATATTTAAGGCTTGTATTTTGCACTTCCTTGTTGAGTGAAAGAGGACAAGGGGGACTCTCGCGCGCCGCCGCCGCCGCCGTCTCGTCTCGGGTCGGGTCGGGGTCGTGGTCGTGGTCGTGGTCGTGGTCGTGGTCGTGGTCGTGGTCGTGGTCGTGGTAATGGTAATGGTAATACGTGTCTTCGACACGTCCGCGCGGATACTATCTTTTTAGAGAAAATTCTTAAGAAACAAAATCTTTTTAACGTTGCGATTTTCTAAATCGCGTTGCGATTCTCTCAATCGCATTGCGATTCTATAAATCGCATTGCGATTCTCTCAGTCGCATTGCGATTCTCTCAGTCGCATTGCGATTCTCTCAGTCGCATTGCGATTCTCTTCTAGATCGCGTTGCGACTCTCTCAATCGCATTGCGATTCTATAAATCGCATTGCGATTCTATCAATCGCATTGCGATTTTCTTCTAAATCGCGTTGCGAACTTAGAAGCTCGCGTTGCGATTTTCTTTTGACCGTTGCGATTTTCTTTTTAACGTTGCGATTTTCTAAATCGCGTTGCGATTTTTATATCGCGTTGCGATTTTATTGGTCATTTTGGCAAATCCAAAAAAAATTGGTTAAAATCGTATATTATAAGGTATTTTTGGTCACTGAGGCGATTTTCTCATATTATTATCTTTAGTTAAAATTGTTAAATTTAAATTCTAAATAATATTTTATAAAAAAATCTAAATAATCAAATAATATTTGTGTAAATGAAATTATTAAATTAATGTTGTAGCTAGAAAGCATGAAGAATCATTAAAAAAAATTGAAACATAAATTGTATGGTTTCTATATCTATACTTACTCTAAAAGTATGGATAATGTTTCAACACTAAACTATGTCCAACTATTTCCCTGAAAAAGTATCTATACCTATATTGTATGAATCAATGTTTATATTTAAAATTTAACCAGTTAAAATAAAATATGCATTATATATTATGTTAAACTACATACCGGTTTGTTCGAAGATTACTAATAATATAAACGTTAAAATAAAATAGACATTACATGTTACGTTAAAATACCTACTGGTTTGTTTAAAGATTACTAATAATGTAAACGGTAAAATAAAATATGCACTACATATTACGTTAACTATCTATGTTGAAAACATTTTGATGTTTCGATATAACAGATTAAGGGGTTATTGAATTTTAAGATTTCACAATCATGTTTAAAGTATATTCGATTCAATTATTCGAATATCAAAATACTAGTCCAAGTTTTTCAAAGATCAATTTCAAACCTTACTAAAGTGTAAAATTGTGCTTTAAACTTAAAATATTTTTGAAACAATTTTTACAAAGTATTTCGAACCTTAATTTAGCCAAAAATAATTTTAGATATAAGGTCTTCGAGAAAAACAGATTGCCCAGAGGGTACTGATACCCCTCCTAGGGTACTGATACCCCTATGCAATATTTGGCTCCGAAAATAACAGAATGCTATATGGGTACCGATACCCCTATCCATATAACGGTCGAAATATTTGAATTTTACACTGCAGGTATCGATACCCTACGCTCCCAGCAGACTTTTTCAAGAGTGTTTTCACACTACAACGGCTCTAACATTACCCAAATGATTCACAACGACTAAAATCAATCCAATGTCTATTTAAACAAGTTCTGAAGTCATTGATCAATACGAATTGATTGAGAAACAAGAGCGAAAGCATTAAAC